TATCTATTTGAAAATAAGGAGTATTTTTCATCTTCAGTTTATTAAAAGACAAAAGCCGAAACTATAAATCAATTTGAAATTAATCCTTTAGTAACTAAAAAAGTTAAAATAAAAATATGATTATCATATTCAAATTATTTATAATCCTTGATCTGTTTTTACCCTTATCATAATACGCCTCTTCAAAGTTTGTCTGATGAATATATTCATCATTTTTTGTTGATTTTATAATACTAAATTGCTTTCAACTATTAAAATCTTAATTTTACATTCGATTTCTCTTAGAATTATTAAATTATATCTTATTCATTATATTGTTTAAAAGATTTGAGATGAGTCCTTTAAAAATGAACCTTTGTATTAAATGTGTTTCTGCATTTTCCATCAAAATCTTATATTTTTTAATTAGATCTTATTTCTCATCTAGCCTATTTAAATTAAATAATATAGCCTTTATTCTTTACTTTTTTTTAAAACTCTTTTCAGATTCTGAATTATATTCTTCTATAATGTATTTTCTCAGGTTCAATTAATAGGCCTGAGTTATAAAATTTACACATTCAAGTCTCTCTTTTGTTTATTTATTCTAAGTATCCATTAATATCATTATAATTTTCTTTTATGATAATGGAAATTCAAATTAAATATGATGTTCTCTATTGATATTTAATTTAAAATACTTATTCATTTTACATCAAGAAGGAAAGTAATACGATAACCTATTAGTCTTGATTACTATAAATTAACCTTTGAATCTTATTAAATGTTTATCCTGCCAATGAAACTATTGCTAATATTCGAAAAATGTAAAAACAAGATTGATTTATAAATTACCTTGTATATGTTCTTTATGAATTCAAATTAAAACTAAAGATTTTCTTAATCTACATCAGAGTTTTCTAATTAATTTAATTCTTATAATCTGTTCTTAAGTTAAATATATAATTAGATAAGGTGATTAAATAGTTCTAATTGTTCTAGTATCGCTGTATCTTGATCAGGTTCTGTATACTAAATTTCTAAATCTCTGTCAATTTCGAATTCATCCAAATTTTTATTAATGAATTATTAATTAATGAATATTTATTCTAATTGGTTTAAAATAATACAGTTTTTGCATTTATTGATATAGAATAAAGATCTATAAATTGATGATTGTGATATTAATAGTAAAAATTTAGGTTTATTTATTAGAATTAAAGTGAACACATAAGTAGTAGCTTTAACAAGGAAGTTTTATTAAAATGAGAAAAAGGAAATCCATTAAAATGTATCTGACATATTTTCTGTTTTTATTACATTTAGATAGTTTATATAGTATATAACTTAAATTCTTTTTTGTAAGTACCAGCTCATTATCGTGAATATCTTTAAGGAAATTTGAGAAATCTTTTAACAATATTACAATTGTTAAAAATACATGATATTTTTTTTCAAACAGAATAAATAATTTTAAAACTATTTATTATTATTAAAATTCAATGAATCTCAAGAATATATATAAAATTAATCATAAATATTTTGAATTAAAACATTTTATATAAAATTTAAAAAATAATGTTAAATCCATTTAATATAGAATAATTAATTTAATAGACCTGATTAATGATATTCAAAACTCAATTAAATACTTAAGAAGTTAGTTAAATTTAAACAATTAGAATGGAGAGGAATGCAACAATTTCAACAATCAAAACTACTTCAAAAAAACTTAATTAAAAATTTTATTCCCATAAATTCTGAGTAAATATAATATTAAGTTTAATATACCTTTTAAAATAAATCAAAATTTATACTATGAACTGAACCCTCCTCCCATTAGCAACTCGTTAGTTTTTTTTTAAAATGGGATATCAAGTGTAGAAATGATACTCATATTTTTGAAAAGCAAGATCACAATTAATCTTTTTATCTCAACAAAAATACATTTTTATGTTATTGAACATCTGCTCATCACATTTCTAATTAGTACCATAAGATGATGGAGTATTTTATTTAAAATTTCTTTTCTTTAATTGCGATAACAACTACATTATAGATTACGATAATTCCAAAATTAGCGATATTTCGTAAATGAATATGGTGCATTTTTGCAACTTTTTGATTTTATAATCTATCCTTAAAAATTCGCTATGCAAATACTATAATTTTTAAATATATTGGTAACCATTCTAATTTTATAATCTAACAATTTCACACACTTAAAAATATGATTCTTAATAATTATTTTAATTAAATATCTGAAATATATGAATTCAATTCATTAACCAAAATAAAATCCACATTATTCTCATTCTTTAAAGTTTTCTTATATATTATTCTTGCATTTATTCAAATTATTAAGCTCTATATTGTATATTTCAAAGTTGTCTTCAAACACTTTTTTGAAATCATCATAAATAATGTTAATAGAACATATTAAAAATTATAACTCTTAAATAAATTAAATTCAAAAATAATAATATTCCTAAACTTCTAATTTTACATGGAGCGTTTTTTAATTCAATCTAAATAAGAATGAAATCTTTTATTTTCCTTACATATTTCAATTGAAATAGAATCTTAAGTTTTAGATATCAATATTAGTATATCTCTATAATTTCATATTAAAATCTTAATTAAAAGCTGAAGAGATTTACACGAAAAATTATTTTACAGAAATTAAAAATCACATTTAGTTATTGAAAACTTTTTCAAATGATTATAAACTTTTGAATTTTACAAAGAAAAAAGAAGTAATTAATAACATAAGAAAAGCTTATTTATAAAAAGTTTAATAAAAATTGTATTTTAATACATTACTAATCAAAACCAATTATAATGTATTAAAATTGTAATTTTTTATTTCGAACCCATAAAGTACTTCATGATGATTTTATAAAATAATTCAAAATTTAATCGGATGATTGTAATATCATCATCATTTAATAAAATTAAAACTATTCTTGATATTACATTCTATACATTTATATCTTGATAATACTCTGATATAAGATTATCAAATTAAGGATTATAAATGAAAATTTTAAGATCTAGTAATAAAAAATTATTGATTAATTTTTTATATTCTAAATCTTTCTATCTGATAAAATTGATATTTTTTTTATTATTTTAAATAATCTAAGTCATAAATCGGAAAATCATTAATGAGTATTATTATAAAATTTTTATCATGGAAATTAATTTAGGGATAGATGAATCAAGATATTAGATTATTAAAAAGTAAATTAGAGATGGGCAGAAATATTATTATACTTATTTTATGAAACTTTATTCCTAAATAATATTAAATAATCTTGAATAAATTTTTATTCAATAAAGTCTTTTTATTAATCATTAATTAATTACTTAATGTTCAATATTCAAAAATTTATTTATTTTTTTTAGAAAAAAAACTATTCTTATTAGTTGATTATCCCTTCTTGATTGGAATGAACTCTTAAAATTAGTTAATTTATTGAATTATGAATTTCAAGAAAACTAATGAAAATATAATGTAAATTATTTTTATAATAAGAATTGTAACTCTCGCTTTGAAATATTATCATAGTTTATTGAAAAGGGAATGAAGTTAACGTCGATTTGCTTAATTTCAAACATTTAAACTATATAATCAAAGAAAGAAATGCAATGATTATCTTAAATAAAATTCTCCTTCCCTCAATTTCCTGAAGATCGCTTCTACAAATTAATATATTTTTTAATTTTTTGTAAATGTCATCTAAATAAGGCTCTTCAAATAATCAAGACTAAGGAAATCTAAAAAAAACCCTTTAGGAGATAGAAGTAAAGAGGAATTAAGTAGAAAATGAAGATTAAAGGGCATTTTAAGATCTTCATTAGTATGCTGATCTATCATAATTATCAATAATACAAAATAAAACACCTTAACAACAATAGGAGAGGTTGAATATTTAGCCAGATAATATTGAAATGGTATTGGCTCATAATCAAATAATTGAAAGTGGCCAATAGAATAAGCACATTGAATTTTTAGATGATTTTGTTGATTTTATAGATAAACAATTCAACGAAGTTAAAAGATCTTCGTCAATTTATAAATATTATTTAAAGATAATATTTTAGATACTTGTTTATATTTCCACTATTATTGAACTAATACTCACTATATTATATGGATATGTAAATAACATATTAGAATAAGAAGATTATGCAAGATTATATTATTTTTCAATATTGTTAAATATTTTTTTCCACATATGTGTTTGGATTTATACATATAAATATATGAATGTGTAAAGGCATCATGTTTGTTGGGATCTGTTGAATTGTGGTTATTATGCTATAATAGGAATTTTAAGCTACTTAAAACTATTGCCATTTTTGATGTTTTATACACGAGAAACATCTAATTAATAATTTTCATTCAGCTAGATCAATAAGTATTTAATAACAATAAAAGAAGAAAAATAAGGAAACCCCTCTAGATTGTTTAAAAAAAGAAATAAACCAGTAAATATTTTCAGAGACCTAATATTTCATCATATAGCTTTAATCTCAATGTCTATCACATTTTTGACATAAACGATACCAATGCTGATGATATAAGGATTATTTAATTCTTATTTTGAAGGATGGGATTATTTTAACACTCTCACTTATTGCTTTTTAATAATAAATGTCCTTTGCTTTGTCTCTGAAATTCAATACTGCTCAAGTACTTTTTAATTCCGAGAGATTTATGTAGAAATTGCTGATACTGAAGTCTAATGGCAAAAAGTTTCAATCTACTCACCCGCTTCTACAGAATCACTTTGTAAGGTAGATGAATCATATCTTGAATATACATAATCTTTATACTTTTATGTCTATACAGGTAAGTTAAATTCATAAGAAAAAAGAAGATGTATGATCGAAATAATTAAATTTATTTTGAAATTCAGATATCTGAAAAGAATTTACATCGCATACAGTGATTCATATGAATTAGCAACATTATAATATTTGGCAAATGCTCTTTAATTTATAGAAATCGAAGAGTTTATATTGGCTTATGAGAATTCTGATCGAGTATAAGATTTAAAGAATACATTTCAAAACCTTAAAAAATATTAAATGGTTTAAGGAGAAAATACAATTTATCTGAAAATGTAGCCAAAAAATCACAATGAATAAACCTATGATTAAATTAAAAGAAAGACCATAGAAGTAAATACTAAAAGAACATCAAGTATCATTGGATAAATAACAGGACATAGAAATAGACAAATTTCCAAATTTTTTAATTTCATGATATCTAATGATTTTGAAGCATTAAATAGGTAGCTTTCAAAAGGAAGCTAAGAACATAGAGAAAATTTATAAAGACTTTGTACTTAAAAAGAGGATTTACAATAAATTAGGTCATCAAATGATAAAATTATAATGGATATTACTAAGCTTGTAATCTTAAAAGAATAATTAGGATTTTTAGGAATAATCGCTTATTTATATTAATATTATGATAAAATTAAGTAAAAAATTTTAGAGAAGATTGAAGTTATCAATAAAAATTTATTATCTAATAACTATTCATTGATAGCGAAAATGTTGCTGAGATTTACATTTTTAACAATTCAAATCATATATCTCATTGAAGCAGAGAAAGATGGATTAATTTGGACAATCATTATATTGGAGATCTTATCAGCAATTTTTATTATACTACCTTTTGTTAAAATACTGTTTAGCTAAAAAGAGTCTTGTTGCGATTGGCAGTCATTTATAATTTTATTTCTTTTAAGTATTTTTAAAATTATGGATCTTTTTGTTAGTTATATTGAGAATTCAAATCAAGGAACTGGTGGATAATTCGAAATTCGTTTTATTTCATACATCAGATTTAAGAGTTATATCGCAAAATTTAAAGGAAATATTGGAGATCTTGTGTTGTATTATCCAGAAGTTCCACAAAAAATAGAAGTTTTTGAAAGAGCAGGATATTCAGAAATAAAATGGTTAGCAAATATTAGTGACTCCTTCTATAAAATACCATTGTTTTTTATTTATATTTTAACAACAAATAAAGACTATGCTTGGGGTTTTTCCTTTGTCAACACTATTAAAGATGCTGTATTTGGAATGAAAGATTTATTAGAAGTTGTTTTTCAAAACTTCTTTGTACCTGCATTAATATTAAGAAAAGTATCTATTGATTAATTTTATAAATCAATGTGTTGTTTCAGTCCAATCTAGAAATCAATTTTATTGGAATTTCCAAAATCATTTGCCATTGTATCTAAATTACATAGTACATATTTAAACAGTAGAAAATATAAAATTGATTTTACTAAATTAGATTATTCTCAATTTAAACCTAAGAAAAAGGAAAAACTATTAGCTAAATTGAAATTAGTCTTAGTAAATATCAATTCAAGTATTGAAATTTAAAAAGCTTAAGAACTTCTATATATGGGGGAAGAAGTTATACTGATATTTAAATGCTTATAAGTTAGTGAACTTTAATAATTGAGGTTAAATTTTCAATTAGATGAAATTGCTTCAGAAAATTTATAGCTATTAAATGTTATTTTGTCATATTGTCCAAAAAATAATCTTTAACAATTGGAAATACATGTAGAAACCAAGAAGGCTATTTATCTAAAGTTTAATGTAGAGAGAAAAAATATTTTAACTAGTTTTTATTTTTCTTACTATTAAATTAGGGAAATGAGAAGATAATATAAAGTATAAAATGCTGAAACTATTCAAATTAATAAAACATTCCTTTAACTAGATAGATATGATTTTTAATAATTTTATTTTGAAGTTGGAGGATTTATGGATTTAACAGACTGTTCAACTTTTTTTAATTAATTTACAGAAGTCTAAACCCTTGAAATAGCACTATAATCTGATAGTGTTGATTAAAGTTTCAGTTTAGAATAGAATATTAAAACCACTAAAATAACTAAACTATCATTAAATTTGGAAAATATTTATTTAAATACACTAGGAGTTAGTTTATAGAAATTAGAGGTGTTTAAATTAACTTTAATTAATTGTAGATTTGATAAAAAAGATTTACTTAGATTATTACTAACTATGAATAATAATGGACGTATAATTGTTAATTTAAGGTAAAAATAATGTTATTTTTTAATTAGATAATAAACACATAAAGATTTTAGATTTAATAAATAAGAAATGCAAAATTTACAAGAAAGACTATCAAATAATTAAGTTGAAATAAATTTTTTATTCTGATAATTATAATAAAAGATATTTTTTTTTTAAATGCTAAACTCTTTTCATATTTTAAATAGAATTAATCTACCATAAATAAGATAGGTTTAATTTAAGTTAATTTATATAGACAAAATCAAATAAATAATACCAAAAGCTAAAAATGGTTTATTAAATCAATATCGATTGGTTTAAAATGATTAATTAGATAATTATCTCTTGACTTTTTGCCTGAATTAACTTAAGCTCTTCTTTAATAATAAAATGTAAGTCTCTTAAGGATTTTATGAAAATTCTATTATTAAAAAATTAATTGTAGAAAATTTTCATTTCTTTAATTATCAAAATTAATATTAGAAAATTCTTCTATTAGGAAAAATTTGAAGGTCTCTCTAAAATTAATAAAATGGGCATTATACATCAAGATATCTAATCTGCAGATATCATGGCAAGTAAAAATAAAACCCTAATGTTGACTTCGGATTATCATGGGATTGTCACCGCAAACAGGGGACGAAAACAGGGCTAATTTTGTAGATTTTTTGAGTTTT